AATTTTTTTTTTTATTTATTTTTTTTTTTTTTTTTTTTTTTTTTCTAAAAGGATCTCGAATTCACATGTAAGGAAGTGATAATGGATGTGTTAGAGTACAGCGACTTGAATTCTGTCGGGCCATGCTCATGTTGCGACATATATGGTGAAACTAAGCACGTGTTTGTTTCCAATTTTTGGCCTGACAAGCATGAATTTTGTGACCATTTCTCTGTAGCACATGGGTCTCACTATGAGATAAAAAGTTAAACATTTCGATTGTTTCCTCTTGTAACGGTTTGAAAAGCAATTAAAATAAGGTCAAAAATTTCCTCCAGACAGGCACTAAAACTATAAGAAAAAAATGGGGGTTTGTGGTGGTAGCGGAGGAAGTGGGCCTTGTAGCCCACCACTAATATGGGCCTGTTTTATTATATACATGATGTATTAGGGTTTCATATTAATATATCATTCGGAGTAGTCAAACTTCTTATGGTGAATTTCTTCTCCTCAACCTCTTTTCCCATTTTGGGTTTACATGTAAATCTTTTGTTCTAGTTCTTATTTCATATATTGCCTATCCTCTTTTTCACGTTACAGGATGGATCTAGATCATTACAATGAACAAGGCTTTAACTTCTTTTCTCATGTAATAATATCTAGTTTTGTACAGTGCATCATGAAGATATATCCAACAATGGTATATATTGGTGCCTTTATTCCATCTAGACCATATCAGAATCCTATTCTATTTTATCCTTGGTTCCTTTGGACCTTATTTAACTTTGATAGATTCAATATTAAGCCAGTGACAAACGCAACTCGTCTGTTCTAATTTGTTTCTCTACTTTTAGCCCTTCCAATTCTCTTGGTGAGTTCACATAAATTCATTAGTCTGTAGTCTGTGTTTCTTTCCCATATGTCTAGATTATGTTCGCAAACTTGATTTCCATAGTTGCAGAAATGGGTATGGCTATATCCCGGCTGGTGAAAAAGCTTTTCGCCAAGCGAGAAATGAGGATACTGATGGTAGGACTTGATGCTTCTGGCAAAACAACTATACTGTACAAGTTGAAACTTGGAGAGATTATTACTACCATTCCTACAATTGGTATCTGCATTAATCATCCACACTGTTTTATTCCTTTCGTTTTCAGCTTTTAACCTTATTGACACGGGATTTTTTAGTTTATGTGAGTTCTGTTGCTAATTAATCAAGGAGATGAAGTTATAGTATATATGGTTGCTTGAAATTGGCTTGATGAAAAGAGTTTTTCTGATGGAGATAACTTGAAACATTACATAGAAATTCAACCAACAACCACCATTTTTGACAGATCTTGTCGATTTTTTAATGATTCATTTAAATGAGAAAGTGTGTTATTACTATCTGCTTAAAAGTTTAGATATATAATATGGTGCTATTTTTCTTCTAAAGGCTAAATTTTGATGTACCAGGATTTAATGTGGAGACCGTAGATTATAAGAACGTAAGTTTCACAGTATGGGACGTAGGAGGCCAAGACAAGGTATTTTGAGCTTTATAAGAACAGCCATAATCGAGAAGTAAATTGCTTATAAAGCAGCATTTCTGTATTTACCACTTAAAAGTCAAGTGTTAATAAAGTTGTTATTCTGAATGCTACCACTGAAACTAGACAGCCTAAGAAAATGTGAATATTTGGTCCTTTGCTCATTGATGTACAGATACGGCCTTTATGGAGGCATTACTTCAAGAACACTCATGGACTTATATTCGTTGTGGATAGTAATGACAGAGAAAGAATTTCAGAAGCCAGAGATGAACTCCATCGCATGCTTAGCGAGGTAAAACTTAGATAAACTCTTAGGATTTCCCATCAGTCGGTTTCTGAGTCATTACCTCGGATTACTTGATATGTTTCCAGGATGAATTACGGGATGCAACACTTCTTGTTCTTGCCAATAAGCAAGATCTCCCGAATGCAATGAGTGCTGCTGAAATCACTGATCAGCTTGGCCTTCAAGCCCTGCGTCAGCGTCGTTGGTATATAATAATTGAATTCAGTACTTAGATTCTCTAATTGGAAAAAAATAAAATCAACAGAAATTTTAATTGGTTAACCTATATCTGATTATGAATTCAGCAAAGCAAGAATTAATCCATGCAGGTATATACAGAGTACTTGTGCAACATCAGGTGAGGGACTCTATGAAGGTCTTGATTGGTTATCTAGCAATATTTCAAACAAGGCAAGATATTAAAATTAACCATTTTTATCTTTCTTTCTGTATTTTGTTTCAAGAATTGTCAATAACTGTACCTATATGTGTTTACTTGCAGGCATAATGCAGTTTAATTCTACATTTCAGTATCTATACGGTGTAACTGTAAGAATGCCAATAATCACGTTTCGAAAATGTTCTTCATATCTAGTAACCTCTCGGGTAAAAAACATCTATTTATATTTCATGTTTTGATTGTAGAAAGTGACTTAAATTTCTGGTTTTGATTGTTCAGTCGATCGGAGCCATTTTAATATCCATAGAAGTGAAATCAAATGGCATAGCCATGACACTTTTACTGTATAACGTCACATTATACCATTACTCAAGAAAGCATTTGTAGTTGGAACCATGGCCTCTACATTAAAGTCTGAACCAGCGAATGCTCAATAAATGTGACAGCTCACTATATATATATATATATATATATAAAAGTATCGTGCATTTAAGAGTGAAGAAGCATGCTGAAGATTGAATTTAAATAAATAAATATATTTTTTCTATAAGAACTTAAACTTTTAGACAAGCCATATATATATAAGTATCGTGCATTTAAGAGTGAAGAAGTATGTTGAAGATTGAATTTAAATAAATAAATATATTTTTTCTATAAGAACTGAAACTTTTAGACAAGCCTATTAATTGTGACAAGTGTGAATTCATTATTGTATATCTAAATAGAATGGTTGATGAATATTAACAAGTCTAATTCAATTTCTAGGGCACGTCCCATAGAAGTTGACATCCATATGTTTTCTTAATTCTATTCAATTTAATGTACCAAAAAATTCACGAAAAGGGTCATTCTTGTGTAATAATCACAATGGGTAAAACTTACCCTTAAAATGACTCGTGAGGAGAGAGTTTGAAATTCACAAACCAAGCCCTGGCTTTGCAAAGTAGGACACAAATTAGAGTCGTTACATTCTACCCCTCCTTTCGGAAACATCCACGATGGCCCATGTTGCAGCTCGGTAACTTCACAAAACAGTCTTCTACTACAAGTAGTTTATGAATAAGGAAAAACGACAAAGAATACGGAGTCAACAGAGATAGGGTGAAAGTTAATACATGAACATTTTGGAAACTGAACTATTTTTTAAATGTCCTCTTCCCCTGTTTTAAATTATACGAACTTACATGTCCAATGTATATTATTACATAGTCTCCGAAATTAATATAGGTTGTCAGCTTTCTTTATAAAAATTTCACAAGTTGGTGGAACATTGATAAGAATCAGATGATCCAACACACCCTCATTAATCAGATACATAAATTTTTCTGCAAAAGATTTCTGGTTTGAATATTTTGGATTTTGAATAGATCCCTTCAGATCCATTCATATCAGTGCTCATAACATTCTAACAAATCATCTCATTTGAGTATTCAATGCTGGAGGGCCAAACACACACTGAGAAACTGTTTTTGCGTTTGACAGTTTGCGGTCTACTGTAACACGAGTTATTCATTGGAACTATAGGCACATTGACCCTAATTTTGTGCTGACTTTGTTCTTCTGTACTACGAATCAAAATAGCTAAGAAATGAAATGAGTTAATGATGACCATGAAGATCGATCAAAGCCAGGAAGCCAATAATCTCTTATATGACAACTCCTTGGTAAGTCCAGAGGAATGGCAACGGTGAAGTTACCTGAAAGATTGTTATTGTTCAAGAACATAAGGTCCTGTCAAGGAACACAAAAGGATATGGGAAAAGACAAAATAAAATGGATCATTGTATTCTTTGCATTGACTTAAACAAGCACCCCCCCCCCCCCCCGGGGCTCTCAAGAGAACAAAATGATCTTATAGCATTCTGTATTTACTAAGAAACTAGCAAGACTGGATATTCTTCAATGAACCGAACAAAATGGTAAAATTTGTTAAGAACAAGGCTTATTTTGCATCATTTTTCATTTTTTGTGCACTGCAATAATGCAAATAACCATCTGCTTGATAATTTTTGAAACGATTTTGTAACTTTCTTCCTATTTTGATATAATTTATACATCTATAAGACCAAACAAGGACTGAACTAAAAATCTTATTGCTAAAATTTCATGGAAACACTCTTCTCTAGCTGTTCCCAACCATTAATCCCTTCTGTTTCCTCACATGAATACGACTGCTTCAGTGTGGTGCCATATTATATTTTAATCAGCCTCTCTTGAAAAGGAGATTAGGACAGAGTCTCATGTTGAAGAGACAAAAAAAATCCCATTTCCCATGTATGATTGATACAATATAGAACAACATGACAAAATATAGACAACTAAAAATGTCCAAAATTTTTGTGAGCATCAAGTATTAGTATCATAATGTTAATTTTCATCCCTCCTTTCTTGGATGTAATTATATAGCTTATTTCGTCATCATCAGCATCAAACCTACTGATCCATATTATTTCAAGATGTAGAAAGTATGAATTCTAGAAATGCTGCATTACTGATACAAGATGCAAGGCTTCGTACAAGGAAAAAATGAACTCAAGATTTTCAGGCAATCTTAGAAAGGCTTTTCTTAGTGAAGTTAATCTCGATTTGGTCAAAATGCAGCCTATTATATCATTCCAGAATAATTGGTTAGGCCATTCAGGTTAGCCGTGCCGTTGAAAACTATTCTAACAAATTATTCTGCAGATTTTCATCTAACAAACCAAAACCATATTGCTGTTCAATCATCCCCACAAAATCAATACTCAACAATCCCAAAATTGAATGAATTTTTTTGTAGCCCTCTCATTATAATCCTACCTAACAATAATCATTATAAGAGCCTTTTGTCTTCGTCAAGTCAACACCCAAGTGTTATTTCACCTTTCAAAATCAGAATAGGAAGAGTATTCGTATCTAAGCTTATAATGCATTGTTTAAGTATTCACTTATCTTTTTGGCTTTCTTGATTACCAAATTCACCAACACCATATTCAGAAAAATGTGAAACTTTAGATTTAATTATTTAAACTAATTAGTATTTATTGTCAAGATCAAAACCAAGCAAGAATAGTCATGCAACATCAACCTAAATCCCACCCGTAGACAAAGTTGTCCTCCCCCCAGGACACCTCTCTACCTTTAATTTAATGAAAACCAGTTAAAATAACCAGTCCATTGCCAACCTGTCCAACATTGAAAAACTTTCTGAGTTCATCAATTCATCCTTTGAGAAAACAACCAAAGGCTTGGGGACACCCATCCCTGCATGATTCTTCATCAAAACTAGGTAAAATGTATCATATATATGTATGACATGCAAGGAGACATTATACTATAAACAAAAAAAAGATTTCCAGCTCAAGAAAAATAAAAGCCAATAATCTCTCTTTCCAATCTCACTCTCCATTCCCAATCAAAGAGGTAGTGGAGTCAATTGTTCAACAAATGTCTGATTCATCACATGGGGTTGGCCAGAAATACAGTAAGAAATAATAGAACGTCATATAATTGCATTGAATTATGACAAGAACCCATAGCTAAAAGAGAGATCATGAGGTACCACAGCTAATATTAGATAAATTAGAGAATGAGAATTCAATGAGGGGTGCTACCCACACCTACAGACACACTGCTTAGGGGAGCTAGTCTCATGTGCTGATCCCGAGCTCTGCTTCGCTTAAACAAAGGTTCAGGAGATGATGAAACGGGTGATGAGATGACCCATGAATCTTGAGAGCTATCAGAGCTAGAATATGCATTGATGACACCGTGTGGGCTATTTGGCACAGACTTCCGTTTACGTTTGAGACAGGGCTTGTTGTCATCACTATCCATTACCTCCCCGATAAGTTTAGAGCATTCGTCAATAGATTCCTGCTATAATTCATGATAAAGAGTTAAAGTCTGAATTAACTTCAAAGTGGCAAAGCTTAAAATCAATTTCCAAAGCCATGTTAGGTATATCATAGTAATTAGAACCCGAACCTCGCTGATTCTTAGCACATCCATTAGTTGATTTTTGTACGTCATTGCATTACAAGGCTCAATCTCTCGAATCACATATACCATTGTTGCGCCAGCAATAATAGATGGCACATAATGCACAAACCTATGATCTGCATTGGGATTATAAAGAAAAAATCTATAAACCAATGCATATGGAAGATAATGCAAGAGCTTGTGATCTGCACTTGGAACATAAAGCAAACTTCTATAAACCATTGTACTTATAATTATAGCGAAGTCATACATCTTCCATAAAAAGCAACGAGAATATCAAAATGAACTGATCCACATACCAGTGATGATTGACAGAAGAAAACTCTCACACCTCCTCATAAACTCCCAGTGTAGGTTAGTCATCAATCCAAATCTCCTTAAACTATGGTCAAAGAACGAAATTGGAGTCACAGGATTCATCTTCCATTTGAGAGTAGAAAGCACCAAAAGCTCCATTCTCTGAATAGTCTTCGCTTCAAACACATACTCGGATTCTTGCACCTTAGAAAAATAAATAAATCGTTAACACCATTGGCATTTACACAAACACTATAGTGCAAATAAAAAATAAACAAGAAATCCAATGAATAGACATACTTGGAGGTCCAGAAGAAGAGGGACTTGAGTTTCCTCCACCTTGGCAGCTAAAGAAAGACAAGCAACAGCAGCCAATTGACTCATCCATGGCTTATCTTTCTGAAAACAAAGGCTTGTAATAAACCTATCATAATAGTTCACAGATAAAACAGCAGTCGTGGCAGTGAATCCAAAGTGGGTAATCACCTCTAACATCCACTTAATAGCCTCTTTTCTCGCCATTATTAAAGATCCATCTGAGTTCATTTCATTATAACTCAAACGGACCTGTTTTTTCTCCTTGGACAAGAGGGTCACCAGCTCGTCATCCTCCCAAAATCGGTCGTGCTCAAATAAAAAAACTAAGCGTTTTTTATGAATCTCGTTAGAATCCTCAGTTTTTGACGATTGAAAGTCAAACCCAACTCCCGAAACTTCATCAAAACGCTCTTCCTGACAATAAAGGGCATCGAAAATCGGATTTTGTACAAGGAATTCTTGTTCTTGAAAATGAGAAACCATCTTCTTCTGAGAAGAAGACACTAAAGTCTTTGCTCATTATCTTCAAAACATACTCAAAAGACTAAATCTTGCACTCAACATCATATCTGCCCACAGTATTTTCAATTTTTTTTCTCAATCTGCGGCACTGAAAATATAGAGAAAAGGAGAAGGGTGTGAGGGAATGGGAGGCTAACCAAAGAAGAAATCAAGCAAGGGGTTTTATCTGAGAAAGCTTTCACGCCTGTCCTTTTTTCCCTGATTTTTGCTCCTTTTTTTATTTCATGAATTTATATCTGTTTTAAAGAATTTGTTCATGGCATTGAGGGAATTTTCGCGCCTATTAGAAATTGGTTTGGTCCAGCCTGCACAGTACACGAACAATTGCAGAGGGTACAAGTCATAAATAGCCAAATACTTGAATGCCTCCATTCCAATTCGATTATTAGTCCCATTATTTCAAAATTTATTTTTTTCTTAACTCGTTTTCAATAACACATTCTTAGTATTTTGTACGAAAATTTAATTTTTACTTTTTTTTTTTACTTTTAACTATATATCCTTCAATAATTCACTATTACAGAACACATTTTAATGAAATAATGGGCAATAGAGGGGCTTAGCATTTTTCTTATGAACTTTTTAAAAGAAATAGTAGCAGAGACTAAGCCACCGTTTGTCTCCATTTGAAACAAAATTCCTTAATTTTCATACTTATTTTCAACCATGTATTCGCACAATAAAATATTTTACACGTAAATTCAAAAAAATTTCTTACTTTGTAATCACACATTTTTCAAAAAATCAGTATTGAAGACATAATTTTCCCTCAATAACGACCATCAAACAAGAGCCAAGAAGCGTGTGAATAATAAAGAATAGTAATTGTAGATTAAATTCTAACTTTAATAGAATCTAAAGAACTTTTAAGTCACCATACCTTGTTTGATTCCCATTATTTTCATCTTATATTTTTCTCTCTCTTTCTTTTATTCTCACATTTTTCAATAGAATAATATTATACGCAAATCTAAATCATTTTCTTTTTTTTTTAATCTCGCATTTTTCATCAATTTACCATTTCAAAATGCATTCTATATAAAAAATGGGGCTCAAACAAGTTGTAAAAATATTTTCCCAATACTTGTAAAATATTAATTAGGCTACAATAAAATTTAATTTTTAATTATAGCAACCACATTTATCTCTGGTTTTATTTTTTCAAAAACTCATTTTTTCAATTCAATCACACATTTTTCCATAAAATAATTTTATTTGTAAACTTAAAAATTTTCATTAATTTTTACCCATATATTCTCTAAAAAAAACTATTCCAAAACACATTTTCTCGCATAAATGGATTCAGTCATGGGTTAACGTACAAGTGCATGTATTATCATTGTAGGCATAGTGATGTGAAAGGTTGAATCCCAACCTCGAGGACCCCTACTGTCCCATCCTTAAAGCATTGTGAGTGAGGTAAATCACGAGATGTGCTCCACCAAGTCAGAAAATAAGAGCTTGCCCGTAAACTAGTGCTCACAAAGAGTCCAATTTCATATTTCAGGAATCAAACCATCAAACTGCGGCTGCCAGTAACACTAAGATTACCTCACTCCTGATGTGATCTAGAGAAATTTTATTTTGGTCTAACTTCTTATTTTTGGTAATTTAGATATTTTAGGACTTTATTTTTCGATTTTACTAGAATACTAGGTTTTCTAGAATTTTTTTCCTTTTAATATTATTATAGGTTATTTAGTATAAATAAGTTCTTTTCTCATTATTGTAAAGAAGCCTTTTTATGATAAATTAATGAAGAATTCTCTCAAGAAGCTTTTGCGTCAAATTATTTTGTTTTATATCAATATCGAACTTATCAAGAATTAATTGTTCTTGTGGCGTTCAAAACAACAGGTGTGATTCCAATTAATTATTTGTAATCAAAAGGTCGGCATATGCATATGATTGTGTTGGTTGTTTGGTTCGTGATTATTGAGTCAGATCCACAATTTCAAGTGAAATTCATCGTGTAGCGTAATCAAGAAGTTCTTCAGAGCACCGTTCTTATTGGGTTGCTTGGTTCCAATATTGTGGATTGAGTTCAAAATCTTGTTCTTGGCTTCCTTGCGATTCGATGTCAATATCTTGTGGGTTCGATAACAATCGTGTTAACCGAGTTCGCATCATTTAGTATTAGAGCACAGACTCCAAAATCAAGGTTATATCCTTTTTCGTTGTTTTTGTTGAGTCTTGTTTTTATTTTTCACGTTATTTTGGCATTCTTCGTGTTTGTCATTAGTTTTGAGTCTTAGATCTAAAATTTTAGGTAGTTTAATTGTGTTTGTGTTTAAAAAAAGGGTCAAAAAAAATTTACTGTTCATTTGTATGGGTCCCAAAAAAATTGTGTCAAAAAAAATCCCAAAAATTTACCAACTAATTTTTTGAACCAAAAATTCTTTTATATCGAGTCAAATTCCAATTCAAGAATCACTTTCTTGAATTTATAAAAATTCCATTCAAAATTTTCCAGTTCAATCCTTTTGAGTCTTTGAGTCACAATTCCCTCACATCCTAATTGGAAACCAAACAATATGTCTGAAAGAATGATTCAGCGATTTGAGAGGATGTTGTGAAAGTAGAGGATATGGGAAATACAATGGATAGGCTTAAAAGGCGATGTAGAAATCTTGTTGATGGAGTTGTGTATCCACTGGAGGGTAGAACATGAACATCAATTGGGAAGCAAGTTGATGGTATATTGGATTATAAGTGTGAATTCTCAAAGATTCGTGACTTGATTAATTCTCGCATTGATCATGGGAAGGAACGAAAAGGGCAAGAAGAAAAATTGTAAGGTGGTTATTTGTGAGAAAAAAGGAGAAAAAACACAAGAGAGTGAAAAGGTGGTTGATGGTGAAATTTTGAAAGGGGAAGTGGAGCTGCAAAAAGAAAATGAAAAAGAGTCTTCGGAGAAGGGGAAGCTGGAAGTGAGCTTAAATGAAGAGGAGCGTGAAGTTGAGGGAGCGTTGGAGAAAACTAACATTTCCCTCCCCAGCTTTCCTAATTCTGTTTTGCAGGTTATCGAAAATTCAATCCCAGAAAATGATCACATTAAAATATCACCTGTCCCAGAAATTGAACATTAGAAGTGTTTGGACGGTCTTAAACATTGTTGGAGTTGTCTTTTTTTAAATAGGGAGGCGGAGGGAAAGTATGAGAATCGGCGCCAGCAACAGTACTTGGCGATGGTGCATGCGCACCAAAAACATGGGCATTGATGTAGAGTTCTTGCTTACCTTTGGCTCTACCAACAAAATAATCCCAAAAAACGAGACATTGAAAAAAGAATCTCAATAGTAGAGATGTAAAAATAACCATATCCATCTTCTTAATTTGCCTTTGTAAATTTAGTAGATTGGTTTTCAAAGATTTAAACATAACAATAAATGGGTTCAAATGGGAAGAAAGAAGAAAAATAATTTTAAGATGAAAATACCCTTCATTTAAATAAAAATAATTAGATGCAAATGATATTTTTCGCAACGAAATGTGTAATTAAGGGTAAAAATGTCAAAAAAGGAAGGTAAAGATGCTGCACACAATAACGGTGAAAAGTAATAACGTTTTATGCTAATTACCCTTTAATTTTTATTTATTTATTTTTTTTAACGCAAAACCATTCAAAAGTATATATGTTAGTTTTTTTTTTTTTTTAGATTTTTAGTCAATTTTTGTGCATCCAACAAGAGAAAGTGGGACCCTAAATTTGATCCAGATGAATCCCTTTTTTTTCGGTAAATAATATTATACGAAACCTAAATTTTTTCTACTTTTCAATCACATATTCTCTAAAAATTACTATTCTAAAATCTATTTTTATTAAATAAAAAGGGCTTACGGGGGTGTGAATTAAATAATTGAAGATATACTATTTTTATACACTACTCGAATAAATATCCCGACCACATTAATACACTTATAAATAAAATTTAAAAAAATTGTAACTGTGATTTAAATTTGTCACACTTATTCTATTCTCAGTTATGGAGCGTGTAAACACGCTTGAATCAAAACATCATAACAAGAAAGTGAAGGCAAAAATCAGGTATACGCACCCAAAAAAAAAAATAATAATAATAAATAAAATAAAATAAGTGTAAAGAATATGCAAACTTACTTAGGACGCTGACCACTTCAAAATGGTCTCAGCTCGCATTATGGCATTTTCAAAGGAGATATCAAAACGTCAAAATACACCGAATTTTGGTGCAAAATGTTTTTAATCCAGCACCAAACTTCTCTTTCATTTGCCTCTTTTTCTTTTTCTTTTCTCCATTTTACGATGACACCCTTCAAAAAGGAGATTGCTTATAAAATATGTGATGATACATCCGATAAGAATCGATGTACTCTAAATCTAAAAGGTTGTTAAATATTGA